AAGGTTTCCTTCTTATTTATTGCTCAGCAGATGTAAGATAAAGGCCTACAAAATATTTTGTGAAGCCTCTGGCAATATGAAATGATTCTGTAAAAAAAAAATAAAAAATACTGGGCTCATTTTTGAGCTGCATAAATAGCTGTCCAGAGAATTACTGCCTGGTGCATATTTTAGCAACAATCATTGAATTACTAAGAATCTAGAATCATTTATTCTTCAGTAAATTCAAATAAGTTATGTTTTAGTTCTTCTTCCCTTCAAGCAGTGTGACTAGTATACACAGAGGAAATGCTTATGATTTGCTGATGTAGAGAGCATTGGTTTTTCAGCGTGCTACCGTTTTAATCCATTAATACAAGCCTGGCAAGGTCATAACGAGTACGAAGAAAGACAATGAACCTTATTTATCAAGGTGTCCAAAAGTAGAAATGTGTGCTTATTGCCCTAAACCACCAATCAGACTTAAAATGTGACTGTGACTGGTGTCTCTAAATTGGATTGGCCACCCCTATCTAAAGGAAATATAAAACGGTCCAATATATATATTCTTGCTTTTTTAATCATGATCAAACGTAGCAGCTCTCTGGATACTCAGGGAGATCAGATTACACAGTAGAATTTCTCACAACCCCTTTTCTGAGGAACCAGCCGAAATCCAGTCAGTGGGTGGCCCTGCCAGATCCACTCTGACTTTTGCAGAAGGAGCCTGCTGAAAAATATTTGGACGAACAATGGCTGCATCCAATCAGATGCAGTCACTGTCCTGGTATTTAAAGATGTCCAGATGCCAAAATACAATAGCTGCAGCAGGAGATTTGTTCATCTGTACTGTATAACTTGGATGGAAGACTTTTTTGTTTTGTTTTGTTTTTTTCGTTCAGCCCACATTGCGAACAAAATAGAACTACTGATGTATGACCGACTAAAGTCAGATAGCCCATCTGACTGACTGAGCTATACTCTGGAGGTATGCAGGTGGTGCTAAATATGCTTTGTAATACCTTTTGATGTACCCTGTTTTTATGTAGATGTAAATCCAATACTAAATTCCTATATAATCTTTACAGAGACACCGTCACTTTGTCTATTTAGAATAAAATATTAAATTAGACCTCAGGAGGTCAATAATGATAGGTTGAATAATCATTTCAAAAGCATTTTCTAAGGGCTTGTTCACACAGAAACATGGTGCGTTAACCCCGTGTTCTGTGTGCATTTCCTGAACCACATTAAAATTGCACTGGGTGTGCGATCTGCTGCAGGTGTCAAAACATGTCTAACCACACCTCAAACGCAGATATGCTGTGTTTTTTGCCTGAACTGGATCGCATGGTTTTTGCAGTACCTGTAGATTTGGCGCAGTATCAGATCAGATGCAGTCACTGTCCTAGTATTTAAAGATGTCCAGATGCCAAAATACAATAGCTGCAGCAGGAGATTTGTTCATCTGTACTGTATAACTTGGATGGAAGACTTTTTTTTTTGTTTTGTTTTGTTTTTTTTGTTCAGCCCACATTGTGAACAAAATAGAACTACTGATGTATGACCGACTAAAGTCAGATAGCCGATCTGACTGACTGAGCTATACTCTGGAGGTATGCAAGTGGTGCTAAATATGCTTTGTAATACCTTTTGATGTACCCTGTTTTTATGTAGATGTAAATCCAATACTAAATTCCTATATAATCTTTACAGAGACACCGTCACTTTGTCTATTTAGAATAAAATATTAAATTAGACCTCAGGAGGTCAATAATGATAGGTTGAATAATCATTTCAAAAGCATTTTCTAAGGGCTTGTTCACACAGAAACATGGTGCGTTAACCCCGTGTTCTGTGTGCATTTCCTGAACCACATTAAAATTGCACTGGGTGTGCGATCTGCTGCAGGTGTCAAAACATGTCTAACCACACTCCTCAAACGCAGATATGCTGTGTTTTTTGCCTGAACTGGATCGCATGGTACCCGCAGTACCTGTAGATTTGGCGCAGTATTTTTTTTTAAAGTAGTGCATGTACTATTTTTTGTGTTATTTCATTGAAATGAATGTGCTTAAAATCACACCACACAGGTGTGAACCAGCCCTAAATCTGAACACACTGGGATTGACCTGCTAAATAAGTAGGGACTGTTCAGTGAGCAAAGTCAACATTTTCCAAACTTCGTAAATAAGATGAAGTCTTCAACAAGCATGGAAATAAGAATTTCTGTTTTTTCTGATCTGCATGCTTGTTCTAGATCAGTGACTAAGATAGTATTAAAGCTTGTAGATCAGCATAATATCCAAGTAAATAGCACTTTCAGAACAGGTTCAGCAGTGGCAGCAAATGGCTTTCTCCCAGGAACAGTTAACTTTAAATTGTTACTAAACCCAGGACCCTGCATTCATCATATCTAGTCTCCAACAGTACACAGACTATGAAGATGCAATTATATTATAAACTTTTAAATACCTTTTTTTCATCAGCAGTTAGAGCAATCGTGTAACTTTTATCAGTCTCCAGCAGAGCACTGGTTAAAGCTGGTAGGAGGAGTTTTCATTCTCCCCTGATTGTTCAATGATGCTGCAGGACCCCTGACCCTCTGTCTGGAGAGTGTTGATTGACCCTGTGCTGATCACGTGCACCCTTCCAAGAAAAAAAATATCTAGCAATACACACCAAACTGTCCAGCTCTGTACTATCACTAGATAAATTGGGGACAGTAGAGGGGGAAGATCAACACACAGAGATCGCAATGTTTCCTGCACCACACAAGTGTGAACTGGGGCTTAAGCAGTGGTTTTAAAGTGTTACTAAACCCAGGACCCTACATTCACTATATCTGGTCTCCCACAGTACACAAAACATGGAAGTTCAATTATTTTAGTAAATATAAACTGTTAAATACATTTTCTCATCAGCAGTTAGAGCAGTCTTGTGCCTTCAGCTGAGCACTGGTTAAAGCTTATAGGAGGAGTTTTTGTTCTGCTTTAGGAGGATGCAGAACCCTTGGCCTCTGTCTGTACAGTGAGGATGGGCTCTGTGCTGATCACATGGACTCTCCCAAGAAAAAAAAACCTCTCTAGCAATACACACTAAATTGAGCATGTGCAGAAGGGCTACAAGTTCAGGAGATAGGATGGGGAAATTTGAACAAAAGGAAGGGCAGAGAAGAAAGGATCAAACATCCTTTTTATACAATGCACAGGATTAACCCCTTAGGTTCCACAGGGAGTAAAACAAGCATGCTTTACTGCATATATAGACTGTTTTTTTTCTGTTGTGGGTTTAGTAACACTTTATTTAACTGATGTAATCAAAATAGATATTTGAAAACTTAAAGAAGTATAACCAAAGCTCATTTGGTTGCACTTCTCCGCCGTTGGATGATGTCACAGTGCCGCTCCAGTCTGGGGAAAGAACGTGACCATATGGTTTGGGATCCACCCAGGAGCCTGGACCGACACCTGGCTCAACCTCTCATTGAGCCACTGAGAGCCTGAACCAGCCACTCCCGCCCCCTCCAGTGAGCACTGGGGGTGCAGAACAGAGAGCCAGAGACTGACAGTCCCGGCTCTCTGCTCAGAGCCGAGGGGGAGGACTGAGCGATCAGCGGTGTTTGATCGCCCAGTTCTTAGCCTTAGAACTGGCTGGGGGACAGATGCAGCATCAGATCAATTTAAAAAACAAAACCAATACTTCTCTTTTAAAGAGGTTGTTCAGTCATTTTTTAAACTAATTATAAGTCAACAGCTATACATACTGTAGCTCCTGACTTACCTGTCCGGGGAACCAGTGCTGTCCTTGGGTGATTCCATCGGAAGTGTAGAGTGGGTACCTGTCAAAACTACAGTAGCTTCCCACTTCCCCCCTCCCCAAAAAGTATTTTAATTACTTGGCAGAGGAAGTAGAGCAAATTTTCTGTTTTTCAGTGAAGTTAAGCTTTAAAGTATATGTGTATTAAGGAAAATGCAATGGTTGTATAGCAAACACTATAGATTGCCTGCCTGTGCTTACCTTGATTACACTTACTGTGCTTGCCTCTTAGTTCTGTTACTGGAGGCCCATAAAAATACTTTGCATTGGACTAGGCCAGGCATCACTAAATGGCAGACCGCAGTCTGGATCCAGACCCAGAAACATTTCCGGACCACAGCCTCACCAAATAGTTGCCTGAATGTCCTCTCCCCACCGCCGACACACCAGCAATGCCGCTGCCGCTATTATCCTCATGGAAGGACACAACATTCGAGACGCAGCAGGTCTATCCCTTTCATAACATTGCACCTTATTCACACAAGCATGGCAGGTCTTGACATAGGACGGGGCTTTTCATGTTAGGAAGAAAGTGATTGGTTGCTAGGCAGCGGAGCGGTCCAAGCATTCATTTACCAGCCTTTAACATGAAAAGTCCCGCTCTATGCCTAGACCTGCCGTGCTTGCTGTCTTGTGTGAATAAGTTAGGACAGTGTAGGGAAGGGGGGAGTGCTGCGATATTATGAAAGGGACAGGACTCTAATATGCAGGGAGGACTGTGATGGGGCAACCTGTGACAAGGGGACCTGAGATGAGGTGATCTGTGATAGGGAATCTATGATGGAGGGGATGGAACAATCGGTGATGGGGGGGGCTGTGATGGGGCAGTCTGTAATGTGAAAGGGGAGGAACTGTGATGCGCACAGGAGGCTGTGATGTGAAGGATTTGATTCATAGCAGCAACATGACGCTCGGACCTTCACTGGAAGTAAATTTTATTGACCGAACCTCCGTGAATTTTTATTCAGTACCCCTGCATTAGGCACTAGCTCCATGTGACTGGGCACTACATTGTAAGAAGTAGGTGCCCTGTATAAGTGCCCTATATCTTTAAATACTGGGTAGTATTCAAAGGAAAGGAGATGAGTTCTCAGTCCCATTAATGAAAACGTAATAGTATGAAATAGGAAGCAGAGAAGGGATTGAAGTAGAAGTTTGTGTATTACAACAGGTGCATTTCTAAGAATACTGGCTTTTCTCACCCTGCAGCTAAAATCGGAGTCTAGGCCGTATCTCACAGGAACATTGTTGGCTGTCATCATTGAAACAGAGGTGGATGTCTGCTCATCTGTGTAGAATTCACGTTGGATGGTTTCACGGGGATTAAATTTGTACACCCACTGACCTGTGATAAATTCCAAAATATGTTACAATGATTCTCATCCCAAATAAAATACCATTACACAGCATGCTGTTTAAAAAGAGAGATGAGCTTTTGTTAAGCATTACACTCTTAACTTCATAAAACCATTAATTTGTTTATAATTACAGAATAATCTGACAGCATTAGTAACTTTCATGACAAAAATAATAATTAACACAGTTGCCTTCTTTATGTAAATGAAGGCGAGACAATTGGACTATAGCAGTAATATAATACAGACAAGGATTTACAAACAGAGCCCAGTAAAATGTATAAGTTGTTCTTGTTTCCCATTGTGACTGCAGAGTTCCATATCATCAGATAAACAGATACAGATATTGCATTCAACATATATTTAAAATAATATTGAAGAACATCACTTAATGTAGAATTATTTTTCAATATCTACGTTAATCTGACTTGCAAAGAAAAACCCACTTGAGTAAAATGTCCTTAACCAGTAGTAGGTATGTGTGTTAGTAAAAATGCTAAAGCCTGCTGTCCCTGATGGTTTGATGCCATAGGAACAGGGCTTACATTCCAAAAGTTCAATCTTTCTTTTAAAACCCAACTCCTGGTACAAAAAAACTGTTGCTGTGGACCCCCCTGCACTGCAGGAGTTACAGTGCCTTGAACAAGTATTCATACCGCTTGAAATTTTCCACATTTTGTCATGTTACAACCAAAAAATGTAACTGTATTTTATTGGGATTTTGTGATAGACCAACACAAAGTGGCACATAATTGTGAAGTGGAAGGAAAAATGATAATTGGTTTTCCAATTTTCTGCAAATAAATATCTGAAAAATGAGGCATGCATTTGTATTCAGCCCCCTTTACTCTGATACCTCTAACTAAAATCTAGTGAAACCAATTGCCTTCAGAAGTCACCTACTTAGTAAATAGAGTCTATCTGTGTGTAATTTAATCTCAGTATTAATACAGCTGTTCTGTGAAGTCCTCAAAGGTTTGTTAGAGAACTTTAGTGAACAAACAGCATCATGAAGGGCAAGGAATGCACCAGACAGGTCAAGGATAAAATTATGGAGAAGTTTAAGGAGAGGAGTTTAAGGCAAGGAGAGCATTAATCAGAGAAGCAGCCAAGAGATGAGGCCCATGGTAACTCGGGAGGAGCAGCAGAGATGCACATCTCAGGTGGGAGAATCTGTCCACAGGACAACTATTAATCATGCACTTCACAAATCTGGCCTTTATGGAAGAGTGGCAAGAAGAAAGCCATAAGAAGTCCTGTTTGCAGTTTGCGTGGAGCCGTGTGGGGGACACCGCAAACGTGGAAGAAAGTGCCCTAGTCAGATGAGACCAAAATTGAATTTTGTGGCCTAAAAGCAGAACACTATGTGTGGCATAAAACACACTGCACATCACCCTGAACACGCCACCCCCACCGTGAAACATGATAGTGGCAGCCTCATGTTGTGGGGATGCTTTTCTTCAGCAGCTACAGGGAAGCTGGTCAGAGTTGATGGGAAGATGGATGGAGCCAAATACAGGGCATTCTTAGAAGAAAACCTTTTAGAGTCTGCAAAAGACTTGAGACTGGGGCGGAGGTTCACCTTCCAGCAGGACAACGACCCTAAACATACAGCCAGAGCTACAATGGAATGGTTTAGATCAAAGCATATTCATGTGTTAGAAGGGCCCAGTCAAAGTCCTGACCTAAATCCAATTGAGAATCTGTGGCAAGACTTAAAAATTGCTGTTCACAGACGCTATCCATCCAATCTGACAGAGCTTGAGCTATTTTGCAAAGAAGACTAGGCAAAAATTTCACTATTATTATTATACAGGATTTATATAGCGCCAAGTTCAGTACAGAAGGAATAGGAGGGTCCTGCTTGTGGAGCTTACAATCTAAAGTAAGGGGGAGGTGGTACAAAAGGTGATATCTGCAACGGATGAAAGATGGTTCTACAAAGTATTGATTCAGGGGGGCTAAATACAAATGCACACCACACTTTTCAGAAATTTATTTGTAAAAAAATTTGAAAACCATTTATCATTTTCCTTACACTTCACATATATGTGCCACTTTGTATTGGTCTATCACATAAAATCCCAATAAAATATATTTACGTTTTTGTTTGTAACATGACAAAATGTGGAAAATTTCAAGAGGTATGAATACTTTTTTAAGGCACTGTAAGTGCTTGTTAAGTCTAGGGGGGTACAGGAGGAGGCTGCATTACCTATCTGACTCCCTGTCCTGGCTGGCTCTGACACTGTCCTCTTTTTCCCAAAGCTCTAGCCTGTGCGGCCAGTATGCAACCATGGTGGAAAGCAGCTTAGAGAGGAGGCTACAGGACACCAGTTGAATTGGTGGAGGGACCCTGCTGGAATGCAAAATTGGATAAGAAATGCAGTCTCTTCTGCAACCTCCTGGACATACAGTTGCAAGAAAAAGTATGTGAACCCCTTGGAATTACGTGGAGTTTTGCATAAATTGGGCATAAAATGTGCTCTGAACGTCATCTAAGTCACAACAATAGAAGAACACAGTCTGCTGAACATAATACTACACAAGCATTAGATGTTGCCATGGTTTAATTGCACATAACATGTAAACATTCACAGCGCAAGGAGGAAAAAGTATGTGAACCTTTGGACTTAATAACTGGTTGACCCTCCTTTGGCAGCAATAACCTCAACCAAACGTTTCCTGTAGTTGCAGATCAGACCTGCACAACGATCTGGAGTAATTTTGGACCACTCCTCTTCACAAAACTGTTTCAGTGTAGCAATATTCTTGGGATGTCTGGTGTGAATCGCTCTCTTAAGGTCATGCCACAGCATTTCAATCGGGTTGAGGTCAGGACTCTGACTGGGCCACTCCAGAAAGCGTATTCTGTGCTGTTGCAGCCATTGTTTTGTTGAATTACTTCTATGCTTTGGGTCATTGTCCTGTTGCATCACCCATCCTCTGCGGAGCTTCAGTTGGCGGACAGATGGTCGTACGTTTTCCTGCAAAATGTCTTTATAAACTCTGGAATTCATTTTCCTATCAATGACAACAATCCGTCCAGGCCCTGAGGCAGCAAAGCAGCCCCAAACCATGATGCTCCCTCGGCCATGTTTTACAGTGGGGATGAGGTTTTGATGTTGGTGTGCTGTGCCTTTTTTTCTCCACACATAGTGTTGTGTGTTCTTCCCAAACAACTCAATCTTGGTTTCATCTGTCCACAGTATATTTTGCCAGTAGTGCTGTGGAACATCCAGGTGCTCTTTTGCAAACTTCAAACGTGCTGCAATATTCTTTTTGGACAGCAATGGCTTCCTCCGTGGTGTCCTCCCATGTTCTCCATTCTTGTTTAATGTTTTCCTTATTGTAGATGTGTCAACAAAAATGTTAGCATGTGCCAGAAATTTCTGTCGGTCTTTAGTTGACACTCTGGGATTCTTCTTTACCTCATGCAGCATTCTGCGCTGTGCTCTTGCAGTCATTTTTACAGGATGACCACGCCTAGGGAGAGTAGCAACAGTGCTAAAATTTCTCCATTTGTAGACAGTCTGTCTTACCGTGGACACATGAACATCAAGGCTTTTGAAGATACTTTTATAACCCTTTCCAGCTTCATGCAAGTCAACAATTCTTGATCGTAGGTCTTCTGAGAGCTCTTTTCTGCGAGGCATGGTTCACATCAGACAGTGCTTCTTGAAACCAGTAAACCCAAAACAGGTGTGTGTTTTTTAAGGGCAGGGCAGCTGTCAGCAACACATCCAATATCATCACACTGATTTGAGTCAAGGTTGGCTCACTCCTGGCTCCAATTAGCTCTGGGAGAAGTCATTAAGCTAGGGCCTCACATACTTTTTCCTCCCTGCACTGTGAATGTTTACATGTTATGTGCAATTAAACCTGGCAACATCTAATGTTTGTGTAGTATTATGTTCAGCACACTGTGCTCTTCTATTGTTGCGACTTAGATGACGTTCAGAGCACATTTTATGCCCAATTCATGCAAAACTCCACGTAATCCCAAGGGGTTCACATACTTTTTCTTGCAACTGTAATGAGCATATTTAACCTTTCGGGTGGAGAGAGACCCCACAGCTAGGTTATATTTTTGTGTTGTGCGCAGAGTTGGGCTTTTGGCCTGGTTCACACTAGTGCGATTTCAGATGCAACTTGAGTTGCATAGAATGGCATGGCAAGAGAAATCACATTGTTTTCAAATGCCCCTGTTCACATCAATGTGACTACATGCGTTGCAATTTTGGAAAAGGTTTGTGTGCTACTTGGTGTGAGTTAGAGTGCGTTTTGGTCCCTTAGAATATGCAAAATACAACCAAAGTGGCATCAAACTTGCACTATATAATCACAATAATGTCAACTGAGTCCTAAAAACTAGCACTGACAATCTGTCGGGGACCACTTACCAAATCATTCCATCAAAGACAAATTCATTACATACAGCTTACAACACTAATTTTAATATTTTAGGCCATCCAAAAATATTTCAGTTTTTTGTACACTACAGAGTTCAACCTCCTAACAAGTTCCTATATCTCTTTGAAACTCTACTACGATCTCTGTACTTATGTTCCTAGCTCTGCTCCCCTGTTGTGGCTGTTATAAGGGGTTCTCACTCTGCCTTTTGTACGTTTGATTTGTTTTATACTGTGCAAAATGCAACAGGATGAACTGGAATGCATAAAACTTGCAAGGAACAGTCAAGAATTGTGAGAGGGATATCTGACAGTTGGACGATCCAAAAGTTACAAGGCCAGAGACTGACTCAAAACAATATGCTCCACCCATAGCAATTTATCACTCTTGGGGTGGATTGACACTCTAATTTCCTAAATGTTTTAACTGTTTTAGGACTCTTGCCTTACTTTTATACAGTATGTGTATGTTTTTTTGACTGCATAATTCCTTAGCTATGAATGCGTTATATAGTCAATGGAAACATATACTGTATTTTATCTTTGCCAGAATGTATCCCATGTCCACCATTATACTAGTACTAAAATGTAGCTTGGCATATTTAGTACTCTAGCCAAATTGTGTGACTATAACCATGGTATTTATCAAGCTAGTGTGTTCTAGATGTTTATATATTAGCATTGTGGTAGGACTAGTAAAATGACAGAGACCATTTGGTAAGTATTGTCTACAATATCTTTTCTTTATTATAATTATGACATGGTTGACTGAGTGCCGATTCACACATGTGCGTTCTGGATTTCAAGGTCCAGTTTCAGTGCGGATTGCAATCTACTTGTTCAGCGGTTCAGGACTGGCTTTTGTGACACAGCTGCGGATTATATTGTTCACAGGTTCAGGGCCAGTTTGGATGAGGTTTTGCAAGGCTTTTTTTATTTTGCTGAGGTGGAGAGAAGGGGGAAAGCAGAGAAACTGTGCTGAAACATTATCATGAACTGAAATCCTGATCCTAAACCAAAATCCTGTTCACAACTGATGATATGTGCGATTCAGAAGCGGTTCCCAAAGAAGTCAATAGCTTGTAATCCAAACTTGAACCAAACCACACTGCTCAAATCGAACAGGACTCTTTTAATCTGTGCTGAATCTGCACTGCCAGTGCACTGAACATATGTGAACAGGCACCATAGGAAGCAATGTTATTGAACATGTCATGCGTATTGGATGCGTTTCGAACTGCATCCAATCCGTATATGTGAACCAGCACTGAAAGTGAGGAAGCCACGGGATTTTATACCAGGACACAAACAGTTTGACAAACCCTTGTCCTCAAAGAGTTTTTGTCATTTCATCTATTCAGGGTCACTCCATACCCACTGACCTCCCCCGCCATTTTGTTGGAGCCTTTACAAATATCCTTCTGGGTATGAAGAAACGTGACCTTCTCCAGCAAAATAGTATCCAGGCCTGGCAGCTATTTCGCAGCACCAAACACAGTCACCTGAGCAAAAGAAGTCATCAACCTGAAATGGAGCTTACACAGAGTTGGATTCCCGGAGGAACAAGGTAGTGAGGGGAAATTGAGAGTACGAGGCTGAATTAGTAAAAGACTCTCATGTTATCTTTCATGGACAAAGTGAAAGAGCCTATTTAACAGCTGCTGAACTGCCATTACAAGCCTGAACAATAACAGCAATGTATTCCAAACTACTTCTCTGTTACCATTACTAGGGGTAGTTTTTTACCACTTCTATACAATAGATGGATTAGGACCTTGTTTATTATAACTGGCATTCTTATAAGAGTTGGCTGCTTATCATCCTCTAAGATATGTCAGTATGTTTTCTACTTACAAGCTAGACTTATTATTTTGTTTTACTAGTTTACAGCCATACATTGGTTCCCTGATAATTGGTAGTAAACTCCGGATTTTGATTTTTACCTACAGGTAAGCTTATAATAAAGCTTACCTGTAGGTTAAATCAATATCTCCTAAGCATGCACCGTTTAGAGATTTCCAGTTGGTTGGCAGCCGGTGACGTACCTGTGTCATTCTTTCAGAGCTCTGTGCTGTGACTCCCATGTGCATGTGCTAGAGTGACATCATTGTGGCTCAGCCATTCAAGCAACCACAGCCCATGAATCCAGAAGGAAGACTGGGTGAAGATGGAAGCCTCTGCAGCGGTAACAGCTGCTGGAGGGATTCATTTGAAGTCTTTCATAATGTACTAGTATGAAATCCATACTAGCACATTATGCCTTTCCCTTAGTGGAAGAATTTTTTTTATGTTTACTATCGCTTTAAAGGGCATCATAATGGGTGGATACTATAAAACAAAATGTTGTAGTTTTGCTAGCTTGGTTACGCAGGAATAGACATGTACAATACAGCTGACAGTTTCAGACCATCTATGCCTGCCTAAGGGTTTACCTTTAAAATAAGCAGCTCCAAGCAAGAGAACACTGACACCTGAAGGGACTTCTTTAAAAAATTTTAAAACTTTCCCATCCGTCCTCTTTTGTACAAAATCATTGGCTTCTGAGATATCGAGGCGTGCATTTCCTGACAAGACACGAGGCTTGTATCCGTAGAATTTTTCCATCTGAGTCACAAAATCAAGCTTTAGCCTGAGCCCTGCAAATCAAAATAACTTTTATAAACATCCATATACGCATGAACAGATCAATAGAAACATGTATGAATTGTCTGTGTGGAACTTTGTGTTTTCCCTTAACCAATTTGCTCTAAAGGGCAATGCTGTTTAGTTTAGCATTCCCTTTTAAACAAACGTAGCATGCACATTTTTTTTTTTTCATGCTAAGTGCTTGAAAGCACTTGTTTGTACTATTACCTTTTAAAGTGGAGCTCTACCCAAAACGGGAAGTTCCGCTTTAAGGACTGCTCCTCCGCTCCCCATTAAGTATTGGCACCTTTGGGGGGCGGGGGGGGAGCGGGTACCCGAATTTGACAGGTACCCGCTCTCACTTCCGGTCTGATCGCCTAGGCCAGTGGTCAGCGAGCCGCGGCTCGTGAGCCACATGCGGCTCCTTTACACGCTTTAATGCGGCTCTTGTGTGCCGGGCGCCCGCTCCCCTCCCTCCTCTCGGGCGGCAGGGACTCTGCAGCGTGATCCAAAAAAAAACAGCCAGGGCAGCGCGCTCAAATGCAATGATTGGCCAGTCTCACATCCTGATAGCCAGGCTGTCAGAATGTGTGTAGGCGGGGCAGCGTAACAAACGTGAGAGGAGCTAGGCTCCTCTCACAGTTCGCCCTGAAGACCGGAACGGTGCAGGAACACGGCGAGAGGAACGCGCGGAGCAAAGGTAAGTGAATTGACACAGGGGGGACTTGGCTTACTACTTGCTACTTACTTACTACTACTATATGAGGGATGAATTAATATGGGGGATGAATTACTATATGGGGGATGAATTACTATAGGGGGGATGAATTACTATAGGGGGGATGAATTACTATATGGGGGATGAATTACTATAGGGGGGATGAATTACTATAGGGGGGGTGAATTACTATGGGGGATGAATTACTATATGGGGGATGAATTACTATGGGGGATTAATTACTATATGGGGGATGACTATGGGGGGGATGAACTATGGGGGATGAATTACTATATGGGGGATTAATTACTATATGGGGGATGAATTACTATGGGGGATGAATTACTATAAAAACTTATTGAAACTAAAAACAGTGTACCATCCTATGTATTTTCAGTTTTAAAAATGTGGCTCTCAAAATAAATTTCAATCGTGGTTTTGGCGAGATTTGGCTCAGTTGAAAAAAAAGGTTGCCAACCACTGGCCTAGGCGATCGGAAACGGAAGGTGTCCTCCCTCCCTGTAGCCTTTTGGGACACTTGACAGGTCCCAGAAGACTACAGGACCATTCATGAAGCGTAGCGCTACACGCGGCATGCACAGTGGGTACCTGGCTGTGAAGCCGCAAGCTACACAGCCCAGCCGGGTGCCCACACTGAAGATGCCGGTCTCCTGGAATACAGGACGGCTGGTGAAAAGGGCTGCGGGGGACACACCGTGGGACCGAGGGACAGGTAAGTGGCTGTTTTTTTTAAAAGTCAGCAGCTACAGTTTTTGTAGATGCTGACTTTTATTTTTTGACAGGGTGAGTGGAACTCCGCTTCTAGTACCTTCCATAACAATGTTGGTGCCATCTTTATTTAGGCATCATCCATCATGAGCATACTCCGTTTACATTGATTCTGGCCTATAGATTTTCCAATTATCTACATCCTGGTGTCTATCCAGTTATCCAGTAACGTTAATGGTGTTTAGCATCACACTGTCAATTCCCTTGCTACTGTCTGTCACTTTGTGACAGCAAAGTTGCAGCACTATAGGCTGGTCACCAGGGAAAGGCTGAGAAAATGCTTCCTACTGCCTGTAGCTGCCTGATTGCATACTTTAGTCTGGGCAGAGCACATGCGTGGAGTTAAAGGATTGCCTTGTAATGATAAAAGTACAGCTTTGAAAAAAAATATATTGTTGGTGTATACTTTGACAATGTGTAAAATTACTAATCTGCATAAGGGATACATACAGCTCTGGCCAAAAGTTTTGAGAATGACACAAATATTAATTTATATGCAAGGAAGCATGTGCAGTCATCATTAATTAGGGATTCACAGTCAAGGATATTGCTACTACTAAAAATGCACCTAAATCAATTATTTATCAGATCATCAAGAACTTCAAGGAGAGAGGTTCAATTGTTGTGAAGAAGGCCTCAGGGCACCCAAAAAGTCCAGCAAGTGGCAGGAATGTCTCTTAAAGTTGATCAACTGGGGGATCGGGGCACCACCAGTGCAGAGCTTGCTCAGGAATGGCAGCAGGCAGGTATGAGTGCATCTGCATGCACACTGAGGCAAAGACTTTTATAGGATTGCCTGGTGTCTGAAGGGCAGCAATGAAGCCATTTTTCTTCAGGAAAAACATCAGGGACAAAATGATATTCTGAAAAAGGTACAGGGATTGGACTGCTGAGGACTGGGGTAAAGTCATTTTCTTTGATGAATCCCCTTTCCAATTGCTTGGGGCATCAGGAAAAACCTTCTCTGGAGAAGAAAAGGTGAGCGCTACCATCAGTCCTGTGTAATGCCAACAGTAAAGCATACTGAGGCCATTCATGTGTTGGGTTGCTTCTCAATGGGCTCACTCAAAATTTTGCCTAAGCCCCAGTCATGAATAAAGAATGGTACAAAAACATCCTTCGAGAGCAACTTCTCCCAACCATCCAAGAACAGTTTGGTGACGAGCAATGCCTTTTCCAGCATGATGGATAACCTTGCCATAAGGAAAAAGTGATAACGAAGTGGCTTTGGAAACAAAACATTGAACCTTTGGGTCCCCAAACCTTAATCCCTTTGATAACTTGTGGTCAATCCTGAGAGCGTGTGAACAAAATTCGGAAAAACCCAAGTATTGATTATGCAAGAATGGACTGCCATGAAACAGGATGTGGCCCAGACGTTTATTGACAACGTGACAGGGCGAATTGCAGAGGTCTTGAAAAAGAAGGGTCAACACTGCAAATATTGCATAAACTTAATGTAATTGTCAATAAAGCCTTTGACAATTATGAAATGCTTGTAATCATACTACATTGTACCATAGTAACATAGTAGACAAAAAGATCTAAAAATGGGAGACTTTGTAAAAATGAATTTTTGTGTCATTCTCAAAATTTTTGGCCAGGGCTGTATGACATAGATTGCATTCTTATTGTTATACAGAAATGTTGCCATTACCACATGAGGAGTCATTATGTAAGCAGTATATTTTACCCCAAATTTCTAACAATGAAAGCAGATTCAGTATCTTTTCTTTCAAATTTGTATTTCATTTCTTTGTATAATCGTGCAAAGTCAGATTTTTATTGACCTTCATTGTTTTCTATAGTTGCAAAATTAATTAACTTCTTCTGTCTGTCAGCAAATTTGCTCATGTTAGCAAGCCCACTTCCCACATTCCAAAGACTGTTTTCACAGATCACAGTTTGCTATTGTTTTTAATAAGGTGATGTGGAAAGTGATTTAGCAGCTTACTTCTCTCCAAGATGACTCGAGATGCGCTTTTTACTCCTTTATCCTTGGAAGAAAGACTTGCGAGCAGCTCCTTATAGGTGGCATGGACCTTTGGGTCATTAAGCAGGTCATAGTACAGGGTGCGATGTATTAAGGATTCAGTCCGCTGTCCAGCACCTGTACAAATGAAAAGTTTTTTTTCTTTTACTACACATTACTAGGAACTATACATAACACACACTGGAAGTTGTTGACACAATTCTAGATATCAGATATTTAACCTCTTGAGATGCGAGAGGTTTTACATCCTTCATGACCAGGCCATTTTTCACTATTCAGCACTGCACTATTTTAACTGACAATTGTGCGGTCATGGAACACTGTACCCAAATGAAATTTCTTTAATTGTTTTCACATAAATAGAGCTTCCTTTTGGTGATATTTAATCACCACTGTTTAGTTTCTGTCATAAAATGTTGTGAATAAAAAATCTTTCTTCGTTAGTTTAGGCCAAAATGTATTCTGCTACATTTCTTTGGTAAAAATAACCCAAATAGTGTATATTTTTTAGTCTGTGTGAAAGCTATAGACTATACAAACCATGGTATATACTGTATATTTTAAAATTGATCAATTTTGATGTACTGGCAGCAATCTTATTTCTTGAGACACTAAACTGTCAGGACAGTACATACACCCCCAAAATGACCCCTTTTTTGGAAAGTAGACAGTCCATGGTATTTAGTAAGAAGCATGGCGAGTTGAAAATTTTTGTAAATTTTTTTGAAAATTAGATTTTTTTATTTACATACGGTCACCGCTGCAGTACAGTGTCATCATATTACGGATGTGGCAGTGATCAGGGATACCAACTGGGGACAGTATGTAAGAAAAAAAATTTAAGTGTTTATTATATTTTCAAACTTTTTTTTTCGTCTTGCAACTTTTTTTTTTTACAAATGTTTTTACATACTTTTATCAAAGTAGTTCAGTGTCCCCATAGTGACACTATACTACTCTGGGGGGGGGGGGGGGTGATCAGGGATTTTTCAGGGAATATCACAGTAACCACAATCGTTTGAACTGAATTTCATTAATAACAGCTATGCTTCTAGTGATGATGTGATTGGCTCACAGCTATCACATGGTACAGGGTGCTATGATTGGCCCAGGTACCATGTGATGACTGTGGTAAAAGCTTTGTTGACAATGTGAACGTATACCGCTCACATGATCCCCCGGCCGCTTAATGTGGCCTGATACTGGGGACCATAATCCATTATGAGAGCAGTGAGCTGCTTGTCCCAGGAGGCACGCCGATGCGCATGTGCTCAGCAATGTATGTTTACATTGCTGAGCCTGCCCATGCTGCCTGTCCACAGTAAAAGTATTGTGGGTGGCAAGTGGTTAAAACTGTGGGTACAGATATTTATCCAATAAAAATATTGACAGATGTAATGATGTACTGTGGCAGTGACCCCTTTTAGCAGGAATTATTTAAGCCATTTTGAATAACTGTCCACCATTGTTTGATATCAACTTGGTGACATATTTGACTACTCCATGCAATATTTCTTTTCTTTTCAAGATGTTTATGGGTTGTGTGTTTCCTTATACAAACTGCCTGTTTCAAATATCCCACAACATTTCAATGAGATTCAAATCAGGACTTTAATTATGCCAGTCTATAACCCTCCATTTCTTTAGTTTGAGACATTCTTTGGTCCATTTACTAAGGTGTTCCAATTATTATCACGTTGAAAGATCTTCTGGTTCACCTTTTAGACAGGCAGCCTAATATTCATATTAAACACACTTTGATATGAAATAGAATTCATAGTTGACTCAACGAACACTAGCTGCCCAGGTCCTAAAACAACAAAGCAATCCAAACTATAACAATTTGGTATTAGGTTTTACTGAAATTTTACTGATCCTTACAGAAAAGACTTTATATTAACATCTGAGTATCGCTCTGCTTTTTTTGGTTATAGTTAGTTGGATCCACCTTATCAAGCAACATTTGGAAGTTCAATACATTGCAGTTCTTTAAAATGTTTACCTAAAAAAATGTGATTAGTGTTGAATAAAAAAGAAGGAAGGTAACAATTAGATTTCAGAAGCAGCTAAGCAAACTACAAAGAATCAATATGTATTTTTTTCATTTCTTGCCACTGTCAGGTAGAGGCATATTCTGTGTATGAATTCAGCTTCGTAGGCCCCTGCCATTCATGAGTTTTGCTGTGTGTGGCGTGAATGCCAATGAAATGATTTAGGCTAAAATTCTCTATTTTTGGATGTTGACTGTGCAGCACCTAGCAAGCAGGATCAAGCACAGCAGATCTCAGTAATAATCAATAAAGAATCATCAACAAAATAAATTATTCACGACTTGAAAACAATGTTTAAAAATGATGAGCTGTATTATAAATGCAGAATATTATGCGCAAAAAAAAAAAAAATTTCCTGTGGAAGCATGGGAAATGCAGATGTTGCACAAACATCAGTAAATGTCGCTTAAAGCAGAGTTCCACCCAAAAGTGGAAGCTCCTCTTGACTCCTCCTGCCCCCTTCGCAATTTCTTTTAGCTTGTCTGGGTGAGCTGAGACCATGATCAACTGGCAGAGTGGGCAGCAGCCATACACCTGCAAGGAAATGGGGGAGACACTGGTCCTTGTCAAGAAGCAAGAACGAACAGAGGTGATGAGTATGTGAATGACGGGGACAAGCAAGTGAGCATATCCAGGTACGGGTATCCACTGTGATGTACGAGCGGTGCATGTGGGGAGCGGATGGTGAAAAGCCTGAAGGCTGGATGGTTTTGCCGTGGTCTATACAGTGTTTATTGTCTATGTGCTGCTCTTGAACCTACTGCTACCCAATTTTGCCACTAACCAGTTACCCTTGCCACTTGTCTGCTGCTTCTCTTGCTGACTAACATTTATCTGCTAATAACTGTTGCCTTCTGTGCATCTTGCTGTTGGTTGCTTTATATACTGGCAATCAGCGGTCCATATCTTACTCCATATATGCTGCATTAAACAAGGGCTCTACACTATACTGGATTTACGTGATGTATTGAGCCACATATTTTGAACTATATGGGACTTTATTCTAATAATTCAATTTAGCGGCACTATATTGCAATTGAATTATACTGATATTGGTCTGGTGAGTAAGGGCTAGGTGTCGCTGTATGTTCATTCTCTGTTGAGACTTAGTTATTGCAGCTATTCCCAGTATTATTAGACATTTTGCTCCTTTTTATATGGAGACATCTTAGCTGGTGTATGTGTGTGTTGGTGTAACCTTGAGCCAGACATTGTTTTTATAAGTGACAACGTTGCCATTTGGTTTTTAACCGTGATTGGTGGAGGCTACTAGGTTAATCCTTTTTGTACTTGATAATTTTTCTACTTAATAAAATTTTTGAGAGTGAGACTGCTGTTTATCCTTTTGTGGAACTGCCTTATGCAGTAGACCTTGGGTCCCTGTTTGTTAATTTGTATAGCGCTTTGGTTCAAGGACACCGCTGCATTTACTAGGGGTGAGTCAGTGCCCTCTGTTTCTGGGCAATAGTCTTGAATACTTCTACTTTCCAGGTGTGGATCCTGCATGTTTTATTATTTAATGTATTTCAGTAACAAGTTATGGAGTACTTTATCACTTTTTAACCAGGCAAATAAAATAATATTTTAAGAATAATATACTCACCCAGGGAAATAGCTGAAAGAGCAGTGGCAAGGGTCAGTGGTGACATAAAGATGTTGATGGATGGATTCTTGCTTGCTTGAATGCGAAAAAGGTCATAGCCAAAGTTGGATGCAGAGGATGCAAGCCTGTTGAGTGGAGTCTTGTAGAATGGATCCTCTTCTTCTTCCACAACAGTTGGGTTCTGGATTGGCAATATTAATAAAAATGATTACTATAAAAATATTATCAGAAACATTTTATACCTGAAATGTATGGGTTTGTGTATATGGATATAATTCTGAAACATTTTTTGTAACCAAATTCAAAAAAAGAGAGGTGGCTACAGTACCAAGAAAAACAATTCCCCCTTGCACTATGATAAAATAAAATGTAGTTTACTAGTTGGCAAATCCCTCCCCTTTCAAGGTGATGGTTTTTCTCCATCTCGCAGGAAGGTCAAGTACATGACGGTGTCCTAAGATAGTGCAGCTTGTAGACCAGTGCATATATTTAGGGTGTGTGTACATTAGCTTGCATGTCTGGAACTTGCTTTTTGGCACCCAGAGGTCTATTTAAAGCACAGCAGGAGTAAGGAATATTGCTGAGTGGTCATCAGCTTCTGTGACTTGTGACCAAAATATGTGTCCTGTTATCCTATATTTGATCCTGATTGCTTTCTAACTCTGATTTACCCTGATCTGCTGTAGTTGACCCTAGCTTATACTCTAACCTTGTCCTCTGCCTACTGTTTTTGTACTTCTGGTGCCTGTGTTATATTTATTCTGCCATGGCTTCTGATCCTGCTCCTGATTTCAGAATTGCTGCCCGGTTGTTGCTGACTTGTTTTAACTAGCTTTTTTCTGCATCTGTGAGCTCCTGTGCTCCATCTGTGTGCCAGCAGTCTGCACAAGTTCCAATCTGAGCATCCCAACAGTATCCAGAATGTCATCTTACCACCTACTGTGTTGGGACCTACTGCAGCTACCTGTGTCATTCGTCTTAATGGCACCAACTCCAGGGGGCATTGGATAGGAGGTGTAGGGGAAGCCCCTCTCATCATCAGATCCTCTATCAAGTCTGTGACATCATCATTATGCTAAACTGGTCCAGTCAGCAATATGCAACTTTCTTTATACCATTACATCAGTAAAAGGGAGGAAACCTATCTATAAAAATACATTTTGTTCTCATATCACCCATTTCTACTGATAGCGAATTACTTGGATTTTACAAAAAAAATCAGTAATCTCTTCTCTTAACGATATTAAGGGTTGTCTTTGAAGAAGGTATCTAAAAAATTTTCTTGATGTGTTTTGGATCAGACACCTAGAAAGTATTAAAGTCAGAGGAGTAACAATGCAGCCAGTTATCTGGAGAGAGCAATAGTGGCATCCTGTGCATTTCTCTCATAAGAGATTTATTTAAAATAGAGGGAGACAGAAAACAACTTGCATTTTTAGACATTTAGGCTAGGTTCACATCTGTGTGGGTGATGCTGCTGCGGATCCGCACGAAAATCCGTGCAGCCGAACCACCCGCACAGAGAAATGCGGACCTGCGGGTTCCATTAGTTCTAATGGCATGCCACCCGCACTGGAAAATGCAACCGTACTGGAAACCGAGGTTTCCGTGCAGGCTGCGTTTTCAGAAGTGCAGGGACTTTTTCTCTGCATGTCACGGAGTAGAGGAATGGGCTCTCATGCCCGCGCAAAAAACACGGCCCGCACGGCCGCATATATGTGAACCAGGGCTCACATTCAAATGTTACAGTCATACATACTTCATGTGAACTTGTGTTTACTTTAAAACTGCAGGCATACATGTAAAATAGGCACCTAAATTTGCCTCAAGTAGGATTGTATATTTTTAGAAGCTCCCAAAAAACACCATCTCCTTACTGCCTGCTCAGACACGGCCATATGACATCTTAATGGGAGAGAGAGAGACTGCAAAATAATAACTATTGCTGTGCTTTGTCTTTTGGAAACCCATAGTGCTCTGGAAATTTTTTTTCATGAGGGTCATTGTAATAATAGAATTTGTATAAGCAGTAAAAAAAATTAAAACTAAATGAGAGACAAAAACATGATAGTTTTAATTTAAAACACATTTCTGGGCAAAGTGACTTCTCTCTTACTTCGCTCCCAACCTATGTTTAGTTGAATATGTATCCCTTGTTCTGCTGTGTCCTGGTTTAGATGGAATCTCCTCTTTTTAGTTAATAAAACAAAAAAAACTTAGTCTGAACAGTGCTGATTGGCCCTGTGCTGGTCACATGCACACACACCCCCCCCAAAAAAAAACTGTAGCAATACACACCAAACTGAGCATGTGAAGAGTGCCTCCTAGGGATCTGTACTATCAGCAGATGTATTAGGGACTGTGGAAGAAGGGGAGGATCAGAGAAGACAGGATCAAACAGCTTTTTTACACAATGCGGAGGATTAACCCCTTAAGTTCCACATTGCGTATAACAAGCATGCTTTACTGCATATACAGACTGATTTTATTGGTGTGGGTTTAGTAACACTTTAAATGAATATCAGTTAGAACTCATGCACAGGAACAGTTTGTTTAAGTTAGTAAAGAAGAACTCCGGGCTAGGCAAAAAAAATCGCCCATTAGTACACCCCCTACACTAAACAGTTAATAAAATTTCGAAAATCCTTAACATTTAGGAGAAAATATATTAAATCGGATGCTGTGCTGCCACTCTAACTGTGGAAAAAAAAATATGTGTGTGTGTGTGCTTCTGTGTGAACCCCACTCCAAACATAGACGTGATTGAGTTTGTATGATGTGCTATAATACCCCTCCCTCCTCAACGGGTGAATGTGTGGTCACATCTCTAATAGATAAATGTAAATACCAATAATAAGTGTATCGTGCTACAGTGCACCTCCCTCCTCAGTGAGGATACCTATATAGCACTCTATAATGAATAAAAAATCATAATAAAAAATATATAAAATCATATGCAATGTTTTTTTCACAGTTATAGGAGTGGCAGCGCAGCATCCTACTTGATATATTATCACATCCACTTGTGTTAGTTGCTAGCAGCAGCCTACAGATCCTAATCTTCCCATTGTGCAGGGTTTTTCAATATAACTTAGGAGAAAAGTCTAATAGAATTTTCATGATCCTCATCTTTGTAATTCAAAAGATAACGGCATCTGTTCTGCCAAGGAGGAGGTGTAACAGCAGTGATTACATCATATCCTCTCTTCTCTCTGCAGTAAAAGGAAACTACAGTGCCCATCAACCACAGGGAATTGTAGTGAATGTGGGGGGGAACACTAGGCCTGCACATGTTGCATGTGTCTGAGCGTCTTGGTCCACCTACTACTGTAAGCGGGGCTGAATTACACCCCTGCTTCCTGGAGAAAGAACTACAGAAGGGATGTGCCAAGGTCAGTGGCTGTGGGAATAGAAGGCATAGCAGCCACTGGTATTACAAACAGGAAACCAAAGAGAATTAACGGTTTGATTTGAAAATGAATAGGCTATTTCATAGAACCAGAAGATGGATGACATTCAGTGAAGATGGAAAATCAGCAACAAGGAAGATTTTGGCCAGATTTGTGCTTTAAGAACACTCGAGCATAAAATCCTGGTGTTTTTCGGTGGCGTATACAGCTGGCTGTACAACTGAATTACTGTGCATGCGTGCGTCTACTTGGATATACACCGATGCTATTGTGCAGAACTGTTGTGTTCGGTAGTGCATCATATGCTCATGTAAACACCAATGCACAAACACATTGACGTACAGTATATCCTAGTACAGCCATTAACTTCTATGGCCGGCTCTGAGGAAGAGGCTAGTGCTCGAAATGCGTCAGTTTATCCAGAGTTCTCATTACAGACAGACACACAGTGCGAATTGGACAGAGCTGTTCGTTCATGATGTGCCTTTAATTTATTGACTATTTGTGAGTACAATATCTATTAACATTTAATAAACATACTTTAAAGGTAATGCACTAGGCCAGTGCGCCCTCTGTTTTTTTTCCTATTCAGGCTTTACACACCACCTGCAACTCCCAAGGTGCAGAAAAAAAAGACAGAACTTTATGCTAGAGAGATTTTTATGCCTTCAACCATTCATGTGCATGTGAGGCCTTTGTTTATTTATTTCAGATACTTATACAGCGCCGTCAATTTACACAGCGCTTTACCTATATATATTGTACATTTACATCAGTCCCTAACCCTCAAGGGGTGTACAATCTAAGGTCCCTAACTCACATTCATACATACACATACTATGGACAATTTACACAGGATCCATTTAACCTACCTGCATGTCTTTGGAGTGTGGGAGGAAACCGGAGTACCCGGAGGAAACCCATGCAGGCACAGGGAGAACATGCAAACTCCAGGCAGGTGGTGCCGTGTCTGGGATTCGAACCAACGACCCGAGTACTGCCAGGTGGAAGTGCTAACCACTAAGCCACAGTGCCGCTCTTTGTTTGCAGTACTGTACATCAAATAAACTTTTGCCATTGTTTTTGGGTTCTTTTTCTACAGAATATTTTCACAATTTTTCATGCTTATATGCTATCCTCTTTGTAGCCACCTATCTATGTGCATGCATCCACGCAACTGCTGCATGTCATTTCTTAGGGGAAATGTCTTAATGGTGAGAAGAACTGAACGTGTATTGTGTGTCAGCACAGCAGCTTGTAGTCTCCATTGGGAGAGCATGTGACAAGGTTGACACTGCAGAACAATCAGGAGACAAGGAGTGAGCACTGTCACCCTATATCAGGTAGTGCGTGAACAATTAATAACTTTGATGGCAGGAGCGCAGCTTCTTTTTATATGAAAATTGCACATATATATATATATATATATATATATATATATATATATATATATATATAATAAAACAACTTGTAAAATTACATGAGCTTGTTATGGGTTATATGAGATTTTAGTAACTGGGTTTACATCTACTTTTTGAGAACTAGATAGCACTTCAGCCTCATTTCTGCAGATGTCCGTGTCCATAAAACATCAACCTCCTCTCTGCATTGCATCTGCGATGTTGTTTCACACTCACTTCTATGTGTATTTGTTTACAAAGCTCAGACACAAAATATTTGTTGGCTGAAAACATGCGAGTTTCTCACCTCCTCTGCAGCATCTTGAGAGCTGGTGAAAGAGAAAATAGTCGCAGCAAGAAGGAAAACTAAATAGTTCTTCATGATGAGTCCTGTAAAAAACATATTCAAGATTGTAAAGGAATATGAAAATAGATAAGAAATACAACACAAATACGTGCTGCAACACCTTCATAATATGAAGAAATCAATGTATTAAAAAAAGAAGAGGTGGAATAGATGATTGTTATGCCATTGTCAACTTTTTTTTGTTTTGGATACAGTGGAAAATACATAGAACTTTTTTTCCTCACTTCCTGTCTCTAACAGACACAGACAGCAATAAAAATCTGTTTGGGCTTCAACCATCCCCTGCCCTAATGATGTTTTTAATTGTTCTGTCTCTCTCTTAGAGACTTCTCCTTAAAGTGGTTGTAAACCCTTACATATAACTAGTTAAGCGATTGGTCTCAGGTAATACACTGAGATAAAACAAATCTTCCTACATAAGTTGTACCTGTCTATCTACAACCGTTTGTCCCCTATATCCATTCAAAGTGCAACATTTCCACAGGCTCTCTCAGCTCTGAAAAGCAGGGCTTGGGGAGCTGCAGTTGCACACTGAGAACTGATTGGAGGGAAGAAACACACACAGCTCACAGAAACAGAGCCAAGGCTGTCAGTCTGCTGGAGGTCCCTCCCCATCATCCCTTTACTCCTGGTGTCAGGAAAATGTGTCAGAAATTATTCATGCTGATAGCAGAAGGAGGCAGCAGTCAGAATTGACACTTAGTGCTCTGGATTGAGACAAGTACACACTATAGAGGGGTATGCTTTGTTCATATTTCATGACTGAGGTTTACAACCACTTTAATGCTTGTAATGGTGACACATCACCAGAAAAGGAAATGGGGGGAATCTCCCTAACAGGCTATTTATTTTTACTTTCTTTTCATGGCATTGGCATTCCTCTGTGAGCCACCAAAACAGGATGCCAAGAAAATCTCTCTAACATTTTCTTTTTTAATTTTAGAGGAAGCCTTTTGTTGGTTTTGGTTTATTGCTGTCTCTCATTCTGTTTGCGATTGTCTCCTTAAAGCGGAACTGCACTGCATCTGAGCACCACAAACCAAAAATGTTTTATTTTTTTCAATTCATTGTTAATATTCAAAGCAAACTCCCCATCCCTCCATGTCTACATGCTTTCTTTTGCTGGCAAACCATTTTAAAAATTGCCCCCTGGCATTTCTGGCAGTGGCCATCTTGAGTAAGGGAAGATGATTGATGTAGCATTTACTTCTTGGAATCCATCTACCTTTAGGCCAGGCATTGGGTGAGCTGGGAACCCACCCTCCCCTCCTGAAGACTCCTTGTTCAAATATTTAATTGAGGATAAAAAAAACATATAGCATATTGTACGTTTCCTAGAGTTGTAAGCATTCCTTAAGAGTATTAACCATGCAAGAAAGAGAGAATGATTAGGTTCACAATGAAAAGTTACACAGCTTCAGAATTGGCAACATAAGAGTTGGACATGAGGTGGGGGGGCTCTTGTATAAGATAATGTTATTACAACAAATAGGTATAAAAACGTATAAAGGGTTGTAATGCATAACAGTAGGCTAAAGATGAGTCTCAACTAGGTGGGTGACCTGAGCTGGTAGAGGCAGTAGGATCCTACCTAGGAGTTATCAAACCAGAACCTAGAATATGGTAAAGAATACATAGAGGCATTGACAAATATAGATGGCAATGGAAGCATATAGTTGGTTACTGAAAGGTTCAAAGTGAAGGACAGATAAAAGAGAGGAAAAAAAGGTAAGTGGTGAGTAAGAGAAGGAAGGAGCCTCTAGAGGGGGTTGGGTGAGAGAAAGGGATGTTCCTGGGGGGGAGACTAGGTCTTTTGAAAGGTGTTGATGAAGATACAGTATGTGTGCCCCTCCTGAAGACTCCTGGGATGTATGACATAATTTGCTTAGGCATAGAAATCACAAAATAACTGAGGAAAATGTAAAAAAAAAGTTTAAAGCATAAATACGATATACTTTCCTATTACTAATGCTAGCAGCATAAGGATTCAAAATAGTCCATATTGATTAGGAGAGTGGAGTTCCACTTTAATTTCAGACAGAGATGAGCATGGGTGTGCTCTGAACTGATCTCTAACCTCAACTCCCATTGAGCTGCAGGTCCGGTCATCCCCCACCCTGCAGCTTCCATAACATCATCAGTCTTGGCCAAAGACACGTCAAAAAAGCTATGTATAGGGTTTGTCTTTTTTTTTTTTTACTGCTGCAAAGGCTTTGTATTAAACTTTTAATAAACCAAGGCAATACAGACTAATCATGTTAAGAAAATGTATAAATAGTGAGAACAGATCAGAAGATCCAGAGACAGCATAATTTATAGGCAAATCTTGATTTGTATCTGTAAAAGTGAAGCATAGCTCCATTTTTTCATCTTCTGGCATCTCATTGGGCTTCCTACTGGTCCTTCAATATGATAGGATGTAACCATATGAACATTTAAAGGAAGTTGAAATTTGCATACAAATACTGCTCACATTATATTTTCAGTTTGGATTATTGTGACAGGTTTATTTTAAGCTAACATTCTGACTCCAAGATTCTTTTTAATGTAATCCCTGCCAGATACCATCAATGGGCACTGAGAGCCCTTACTATATAAGCAATTCTTTATTGTTCTAATAAACAAAGAGAATTTATCCTGCCCTCCTTCTACTATATCCTATAGCTAATTAAAGATAATCTGACTAATATAGGTGGAAGGGACACACGAGAGTCACTAACAGCTTTAATATAACATTTATGGTAACCTTCTAGTCCTATTGAACCTTCCTGTTTAATTATGTGAATCCATTGAGGAGTTACATCATTTTTGTCTATGAAGCAGCTCCAGCTCCCTTTAAACAGCCTGTCCACCCCAGGAGGGACTGGGTGTGCACAGAGGAGAATATCGAAAGCAGAATGTATTAAGCACAGACTTAATTTGATTCACTCTCATGTTATATATAATCTAATGCCTCTCAGAGGGTCAAAGGGTTTCCTTCATCAGGACTTGTACCCTTGAACAAAGGGTGTACTGGCCTGAAAAAAATGGAGGGATGCTTCTGTTGTCTAACCCTCTGTATACCCAGTTCCCACTCATGCAAAAAGCTGACCTCTGACCACCACTCATAAGATAGCTATCTAGAGAGAATTATTCCCTGTATATCTGACTGAGAACATCTACTGTACCAAACAACCCAAACCTTTCTTCTACTTTCCACTATGGGTAGTCTTCTGAGAAGTTAGCGGTCTCTCAGCTCCCTGTTAAGCCTAGTACACGGGATCAGAAAATCATACAAAAAAAAATACCAATTTCAAAACGATCGTATGGTAATCTGATTGTTAGTACACAGCTTTTGTCCGAAATTATTCGAAGGGACAATCACAAAAATTTTTCTTGTTTGATACCAAGTTCTGCATGGGAGATCAGGGGGTAAAGTACACCTCTTCACATCAGTCCCAGTACTAGGCAACTACCTGTTCCTTGCTGCCCACCTGGAGCTTGCTAGTTTTCATTAACTGCTCAAGGACCGCCTTATAGAAGATATACTGCTACAGGGCAGCACCTGTGCTCAGAATCACATATATATACACATGGCTTTGCATTTCCGGGTAGGGGGCACACGCCCTACCCGCGCTGCCATTCGCAACCGCGGATGTCAATCACCGGGTCCCAGCCGGTAAATACCCGCCAGCTCCGGTGATTACCGAGCATCTCCGATGGGGAAGAAGATTGTTTCGTTTACAATTTTCCTCCGTCAGCTTGAGCACACTGCTCAGGATGGCTTTGCACAGTACGGCCATCCCGATCAGTGTGCCTGATCAGTGAAGAACACCCCCCCCCCCCCCAGTAAAACACTCCCAGCAGGAAGGGGTTAATGTGAGGGGTAACCCTTTGATCGCCCCTCACATTAACCCCTTCCTGCACAGTGCCATTAGTACAGTGTCGGTGCTTTTTTTTTTTTTTTTAGCACTGATCACTGTATTGGTGTCACTGGGGTGTCAATGACAACAAGTTAGTTCCCCTCAGTGGGAGTCCTGCTAAAAGTCGCTAATCGCTGCCATTACTAGTAGAAAAAAAAAATCCCATTATCTATACCACCATTGGTAAACGCTGTAACTCTCACTTAAACCAATTAATTTACACGTATTGGGATTTTTTTTTTAGCAAAGACGTCTCAGAATACATTTTGGCCTAACATTATGACGAAATTTGTTTTTTTTTTTTATTTTTTTACTGGACATGTTTAATAGCAAATAGTCCAAAATATAGGTTTTTTAATCAAAATTGTTGGTCTTTTTTTGCTTATAGTGTAAAACATAAAAAACACACAGGCGATCAAATACCACTGAAAGAAAGTTCAATTCATGAAAAAAAAAAAAAGACGTAAATTTCATTTGGGTGCAGCGTTGCATGACCGCGCAATTGTCAGTTAAAGTAAGGCAGCACTGCAACGCAAAAAATGACCTGGTCATGAAAAGGGGTAAATCCTCAGGAGTGCAAGTGGTAAAAGTGTCTATGCTTTCCAAGAGATTAAAGGGTCAGTCTACCAAAAATTGACATTTGAGTATTTGATAGATGCTAAAGGGTTAAACCACCTTACAATTTTCACAGTTTTAGGTCTCCTACTCTCCTGTTCCTGCACATCTGCTGTAGCCATCATGAATGTTTTCCTCTACCCTTGGATTTTTTAATATGCAACAGGAGGTTCTGGAACATGCAAAGGCGGGTAATACACAAAAGTTACCATCTAGCTTAAGCAGCATGAGAAGGATTTGGTTCATAATGTTCAAAATCTGTTACTATAACAAGCACGTTGACTCATACATTTTATTATATTTTGTATTTTCCAGTAGAGAAGTTGAATCACTTTTTCATGTCAGAAAATCATATTCTAAATTAAGTGAGAAAAATATTTAAAAAGAAAACAGGATTTATAAGTCTAATAGAAATACCAGATTTAACATATGTCCAAATTGCCAAGAGTGCCCCCCCCCCCCAAAAAAAGAAAATAAAATGATGCATCCAGTCCATCT